ATTTAATATTTGTGATTAATTATTTTATTATGTATATATTATATTTTATAGCTCAATGTATTGTTACAAAGAAAATCCATTGAATTTAATTGAAAAAAGAAAGAAAATTGTACAAAACCTTTTTAAAGTAGGGAAAATACACCAATAGATAAACAATTAAATTCAAAAGATGAACAAAAAATACAAAATTAATTTCTATTAAAAGAAATTTACATTTTTTTCAATTAAACAAATATTCTTTTAAAAAATGAAAATTAATACATACATATTAATCTTTTATTATTTTAAATATTTGTTCATCTTCTAAATCGTATCTGTCTATTGGTCTAGTCGCCCTAATTATGCAAACATTTAATTTTTAATATTTCAGTTCGAATATTGTCATTTAGTTTCTAAATATTTTATTATAATTATATTTATTCTTACATCTATTACTATTATTATTGTTATTATTATTTTCAAATTCTATATAATTATTTTTACGTTCAATTTTAGTTGCAATTCTTTTAGTCTCGCACGTATACTCCATATAGAGGTTCACCACTTGAGCATTCTATCGATCGTCTTTACTTTCTCTATCTCTTTCCTTTTGTTTTTGTCAATTTTCTTCATTTCTTTCATATTTTATTTTTTTCTTTCAATTTAATTTTCTTTTATTCATTCATTATTATTATTATTATTATTCTTTTTTTACTATTCACCACAAGCTGTTCACTTGTTTTCTAAGTCAGTCGGACTCTCGCACTCGTACATTGTGTTCATTACCACTAGCTTATAATAAAACTATGGCACTTGGTGCAGTACTAATTTTCTTTTTTCTTAACATTGGTTTTTTTAGGATTTTCTAGTATTTTTCTATCTTTTTTATTTATTTCTACACTAAGAGAAAAATTGATTTATTTTATTTACCAGTAAATTATCAATTACCAACACCAAACTTAACTTTAAAACAAATAACAAAAATACAAAAATAAATATGAATTATTATTAATGTAGATTTGATTTAAATGAAATCAAATTCTTACATTATTTGATTATTTTTTCTCTCAGTGTAATGGTAAATAGATAAGTCTTGAGTATTAGAATGACTTAAACTATAATTTATATGACACAAAGTGATAATAATTAGTGCGTTTTAATTTACATTGGCTTCATGGTACAGATATTACAAGGTAATACAGGCAAATCATGTTCTACTTTGTCTTCCTCTCTCTTTCTCTTCTTCCTTCTATTTTATATTACTCTTAGACTCTCTTTTATATCCCTTATATTATATCATTGATTAATTAGTTATGGCATTTATAGCTCAATAGAAAGAATCAAAAGCAACTAAATCTTCCTTTTTTTTTATTGCAGTAAATTGAATTTTTATTTCATTTTATTTCTATTTTAGTACTTTTTTTCTCATCATATTATTTTTCATCTGTTAGGATTTGTAATAGGCAGAAGGCAGTGTTTGGTATTTAAGCTGTCATCTCGGAAGACTTTGAGTAAGATTTCATACAATCTCCATCAACATTGCGATCCAAACTGTGGAAGAGTAGTTAATTATTTTATTACTTAATCGATATTTAATGTTGCCTGAATCGCCTTTAATAAGACACTGTATACAAATAATATTACAGTTCTTTTTTATTACATTTTTTTATAATACATAGCCAGAAAAGATTACTTTTAAATTAATAAAAGAATGCTTTAAAGTAAACGATTTAATATATTTAATTTCAATAAACGGAAAAGCATTATTGAAAACATTCGTTTATTTTTTTAGAGATCATTTTTCCTCTTTCTATTTAGTAAATAAAAATATAAATTTAATAGAAATTTGATTTTAAAAAATCAACAACAATTTCACAGTAAATATTCAATGCACTACGAAGCTGTAACTTACATAATTATATTTTTAATATCAGTATAAATTTACTTTGTAGGCCTGCGTTATTTGCACGAAAATAGTATATCAGATTACATAAATTTTTTTTTTGTTTTGCAGCTCATATTTGTTCCAAATACTTTCTACACTTTATTGCTAAAAAAATTTATGACAATAAGCGATTACGTTATTGCTGGATTTAATTTTAACAAATCGCTTTGTATAGAGAAATTTTATCGTATAATTTTTTTTTTTACAAAATCACCAGTTCATCATTACAAAATATTTCTTTCAGAATAAATTTATAAACGAAAAAATATAAAATCTAAAAAAATAAAGATTAAAAAAAAAATATTTATTAATAATGATATATTTTTCATAATAATATTGATAATAATAAAGGTAATAATCATAAGAATAATAATAGTAATGATAATGGTAAACAATAAGTTATTTAAACATTAAACTTAATATAATAATTGTGTGGATATATTTATAGTGTGTGTTTTATGAGTAAATATATAATAATATTAATAATAATCATAAGTCATACAGTTATAGTGTAATGGAGAAATTGCGAAGACAGATTATTTATTTACAGAATAAAAATGAATATTTGTCAATCTTTTCCTCTTTCTTGTCTTGCCTTACACATTTTTCTTCTATTCAGTATGGTGGATACTTTTGTGTGTAAAAATGTGAATATGTATTTGTATGATGGATTTTTATTTTTGTTCTTATTACTAATTACTATCTTACTGCAGTTGTATAACTAAACAGAAACACGAGAACAAAGGAGTATGAACAATACACAAACTATGGCAACTATTTTCAGTATAAAAATGGCAAGTTTAGATCGACGTGTATATTATCATTAACGAGAACTCAACAAACATTTTTATAATATTTCTCTTCTCATAAACCATATTAATTACAATACATGCGTATTTATAATGAGTAAAAAGTGAAAAAAAAAATGAATACTATTAAGTGTTTGAATGAAAAAAAAAAGAAAAACAAGGGAAATGTACGACGCGTATAACAAAAGGCATTAGCCAATTGTTCGTTTACAATTTTCTTTTTTTCACGTTTTCTATTATATCATTTCTGTTGATGAATACTTTTAAATTGTAACAGTCTTACTAATTCCTTTACAAATAATACATTTTCTACTATTCATATTTTATCTAAATTAATTATTTTCTCAATTATTGAATACGCGGTTTTTTTTTTCATGTATAACAGAAGTTAACAATTCATTTACAATGTCAAACAAATTAATAATAACCCGGAAAAATTTAATATTTAATTGTTAAAGAATATCCAAACAAATCATGCTTTTACGTAAATAATTCAAAAAAATATAAATACTTAAAACAACAAATTAGAACAAAAGATAGATCGACAAAAATAATACAACAAACGCACATTTTAGATATAAATCTTATCTCTAAAACATCTCTAACAACTTAAAGCAGATGTTATGCGTGTACTACAGCCATACGTTAATTTTTTATTACAAAATAAATATAAAATTGATCGATACTTTTGATATCATCTAAAGTTTAATTACTCGAATAAAAAATGTATGATTGATTAAAAAGGAATGTATATCTATACAATTAAAATAACATTGAATTAAGTCGATACTATAGTTGTTGTATCGCAATTGTCTGCGAGTATTTTGTTTATTTTCATTTATAAAATGGCTGCAATACGAAACAATGTTTTTATAGTATTATTCAACACTCTTTGAAAACGACATAAAATGCAATAACGCTAAAACTGCGGCACAAAAAAATTCAATTGTATAGCAGAATTTAGTTGAATAAAAAATCGAAGAAAATACCGCAGATCACCCGGGGGATTTTTTGTTTGTTTAAATGTTAAGTAAACGTAAAACACTATGATAAATTGATGAACTACAACCGCGTCATACACACATTTGTATTTGCATAATAAATATTCGTACGATAAAACGAAATACGAATACATACGCATGAGTAATATGATACAGAATATGAAAAGTATTGAATCGCATGATAACATGAAATTAGTAACAGTTATTTCGTGTGATGACACACTTATCACACATTTTCTAAATTTGTATAGTTCCTTTTCTACTCGTGTCACGTAAAAATTCAATCGATTCATCGGATCGTTGAATAAACAAAAACTCAATAAAAAATAAAAATAAAAAATAAACACAAGTAAAACAAGGAACTGCACTAAATTGTAATTTTATTCGTTATTCGAATCGGCGGGTATATGTATGTGCATCGGATACATTCTCATTTTTTTTCGCTTATTATCTTTCAATATGAAAATAATGCGAGAACCGACGTAGAACAGATGATACAGGTTTTAGCTCTTAAAATAATGTTTTACAATTATATTTTGTCATTTATTGATAATAAAAAAAAAGTGACTTGTACGAAGAATAAAAATTTTTTTGTAAAAAGAAATTGTGTTATTAAAAATTTTCAATAAAAAAATTAATACAATTTCTTCACATAAAAATTCTTATTCTTTTTCAAAATGTATTGTAAGACTAATGTTTTCAATAATTTCGTTAATAAAAAATGGACATATTAGCAATTTATAAATTTAATATATAATGGAGTAGTCGAAAATATTTAATTAATAGATGCGTGTCATGACAATTTCCTAATTACCAATCCCTAAATCAATCAAAGATATTGAAAACTTTGATAATCTAAAATTTTATTACACGAATTGAATATTACTATTAAATAATATATATTTATTTATATAATATCTATAATTTTAAAAAATGAATTATTGTAAAAACGAGAGATTATTTTAAAAACTATTTCACGCGAACGAGGTTTAAAGTTATAGATTATAATTGACAGGGGAAAAAGGTTTTTCGGAGATATTACTCGCATTTACTATCCCCTCCTTTGTATTCACTCATTTTTTTTCCGGTGCGCAAAAATAACCGCCCTTTACAAAATGCAATTAACAAAAAAAAAAAAAAAATGTATAAAAAGTCACGTAAAATCTCGTACTCTCGCTCGCGTTTTCACTTTACTGGTTTACATACTATCATACATTATGTAAATGTAGTATGTGTTTTTAATTTTTGTTTTAACTCACGTTTAAATATTCATTCATTTTTGTTTTATTATGCACTTCGCCCTTAGGCAACTTAAGACCATTACAATTGATATTAAAAGTAAAAATAATTTTTTTTTTCTCTTATCAAATTTCATTTTTTCTTTTTCAATTTTTTTTTTCTCATATTAATTTTCTTTTTTTTTTTTTTGCAAATTGTTCGATAGATTCCAATTAATTAATGCACGTGTAGAAATTTTCCACAAAAGTTCCACACTCAATTGTTACATTTTTTTTTATATCATTCAGTTCACATTTCATTCAACGCTCGGTTCTCAAACGCCTTAATTATAATATTTTTCTTTTTCAATTTTATCAAACACAATTATTTAATAAAGAAAAATATTTTTATTTACTATCATTGACTGTATTATTATTATTACTAATTTAAAGAAGAAAATATGTAATAAAAAATAAGTTGTATTACTTGTTTTTAATTGTTAATTAAATTTGAATTATTATTAAAAATTATCTTTAATTTATTGAAATAAAATCATCATTTTACTCAATAAATCCATTCACTCTTACAATCATAAACGAGTATATGTGCGTATGACTCTACTCTTTCAATCTCACGTATCATTAATTAACAGAGAAACTTTCGTGGAAATTTTTTTTATCACTTTTTGATTTCATTCAATTTCCCTTATTCATAATCTTATACACAATATACAACGACGGCAGTGTATTTATACAGAATTGAATTTATTCAATTATTATTCACTTTACGTAATGATTTAATGAGTGCAAAATTAATAGAAAATCCGGTTTACTTTTGTGGAAAAAAACAAAGAAACATCAACATTCACGAAATTTTAGTATTTTAACTGAATTATTAATCAAATATTCAATTTTTATGACAAAACAAAACAAAAATTTCTACAATTGTATGAGCGCGCGAGTACGATTTGGGATCGACAGAATAAAATGAACAGAATGATATCTATATATATGTTGGAATAATCCAAAAATTGTTTATCTTCCTTGACGTTTTCTCTCTCGAAACAATAAACAAATTGCATACACGTATTCACATAATTGGATTACTGCTACAAAATTTAATGAGAGAGATTCGATTTAATGTACAATTGTATTTGAAAAAAGAAAAGAAATTTTTTTTTTTTTTTTTCTACCTAATTTGTGATTTTTCTTTTCTTATTATTTCATATACTTAACGATATATATGAGAGACAAGTAAAATAATTATCAACTACTAATTTGACGTAATAATAATAATAATAATGTTAATGATATACTTAATAACAATGATAACGATAATAAAACTAATGTGTTGTGATAGTAAAAATAATTTTAAGCAATGAATATTTCATTATTACCATAACTATGATTAAATAAAACAATAATAATGTTAATAAAAAGTTGAAAATTTTTTTTACCGTATTTAGTTGCTGGCAATTGCGCTGGAGACACACAATTTCATGATGATGCGATTGCTCACTTAATCCTTTACTTTTAATTTCTTTTAGCAATATTATTATTAATATTATTATTATTATTATTATTATTATTATTATTATTATTATTAATATTATGATAATTAATATTATTTTAGTATTATTATTGTTAATATTATTATTTAAAGTTAGTTTCTAGTTGACCATAAGTGTATGAGACTCCATAGGTGCAGCACTATCATACAATGTATCGGTGTCTTGCGTTGGTTCACCCTGAAGTTGACACTGATTACTCAATGTACCAGCACCACAGTCACAGAAGAATCTATATAATTAATTAATTAATTAATTAATTATGAAATTGATTGATTTATAAAAACCAATATACCAAATAAATAAATAATAAAGAAATAAAAGATGATATAAAGTAAATTATTTTACCTATCATGTCTTATAAATTCCACATCATGGCCGGCGTGACAAGTTTTTATGCAGTTAACACAAATTGCATTTCTATCAGTTGTGTTACACGTTTGACAACGATAAAAATCGTGCATGGGAAACGATGTATACGAAGATATTTTATATAAACATTGACCATTTTCAACTGCTTTTTCTACTGCATCTTGATTGCTGAATATTTTATTGCCTAAACAAACGGTTTGATTAAGTATACAAATGAAAGTTACATAATGTTGATGAAGTAATAATGAAAACAACATATTTTTCGTTTACTTTTATGAACAATGAATTACCTCGGGATGTTGGTTGAACTCCACTTGCTAAGCACAATCCACCAAATCGATTATTAAAAATTTGATTAAATTCCAATGTTGCCGTAGCATTATTAGTTATTTCTACGCCAGCAGCTAATCCATCAAAAATTCGATTTTTCCTTAACACTGGATACGATTGTGTTGATATTAAAACTCCAGCTTGAGCATTACGGAAGATATCATTTTCTTCTAGTACTCCTATAAATATATTAATATCAATGAGTATTTCATTAAATAAAATATTTATTTTATTATTATTATAATAATTAATAATTAATAAATTAATAAATGAACAATATAATTACCTTTTCCACCGTTAAATATACATATTCCACCGTCTCGTCCATCAAATATTTTATTCCTTTTAAGTGTTGGATTACTATCTGTTTTTATCCAAACGCCCGCCATGGCGTTGTCAAATATTTCGTTCTGCTCGAGTAATCCCAGACCGCTGTTGTACACGAGGACACCGCCATTTTGGCCACCCCATATCTTGTTTCCTCGAATAACGGGATTACTACCAGTCCTATTAATTGAAAATAATATATTTATAATATACAATAAATTAAATTTTGAAAAAAAAACCTTACAGATAGAAAAACGACATTTGAAATGCAATGATTACCTTATTTGTACTCCTGAGTACAGGTGATTAAATATATCATTATCTTCTAGTTTTCCATGGCCGTTATCATAAAAATAAACGCCAACTTGTTTACCACTATGAATTCTATTTCTTCTTAAGATCGGCGTTGATCCCGTAGTAATCCAAACACCAGCTAGGGTGTTGGCGTATACTTCATTCTCTTCAATAAGGCCTTGGCCTTTCTCATGTACATAAATACCTCCATGCTGCCCGTGGTGTATTTTATTATGTCTCACAATAGGATCTGAATTTGTTCTTATTTGAATTCCAGCAAGTGCATTTCCATAAATATTATTGTGCTCAATCAAGCCTCTACCTTCGCCAAATATATAGACTCCACCCTGATGGCCATTGTAAATTTCATTACGACGAATTGTTGGATTGGAATTGGAAGTTATCCAAACTCCCGCGAAATTATTTGAATGAATTTTGTTATCAATAAATTGACCAAGGCCATTTTCATGAACGTAAATACCTCCCGTTTGGCCATGATGAATTTCACACTGAACAACTGTGGGATTTGCCCCCGCCTTTACTTCGAATCCAGCAATACGGTTATTGTGAATGTCATTGCCCTCAAAATATCCCAAACCATTGTCAAATGTAAATATACCAACATCACGCCCATGGTGTATGTGATTCCGTCGCATTATTGGGTTTGCATAATTTTTTACCCAGATGCCGGCTAACGCATTCCGTGAAATTTCATTATCTTCATAGGTACCTTGTGCATAATCTGTCACATACAGTCCAACATTCTCACAGTCTGAGATGTCACAATTTTTTATTATTGGATTTGCACTACCTCCAGAAACACATACAGCTGCACCAACTATTGAAAATAATAATTTTTATTAATAAAAAAAAAAAGTATAATAAACAAAGCTTTCTCAGAGAAAAAAAGTTTCAATTACTTGAGATATATTTGACTATTTATTGATTTAAATTTTTTTCTCTAAATTTATAAATGTTTATTATTTAAAATACTCACCAACACTTGAGCTTCGAATAATACAGTGATCTATTGTAGGACTACAATTTTCCCCTATTTCAAGACAGTAATGTTTATGATGAGGCACTGTACTTGTGACCTCAGGTGTGAATTTTAAAGTAAGGTGTCCAGCATATGCCCGCCTCGCACCTTCCACAAACATCATCGTGGATTCGCTTTCACGTTCCAGAATAACAGATTCCGCAACATTACCCGGTGCAGCGCCAATGAGCGCGACGTCACTGTCGATAACGAGGAATTCACCACGATATGTGCCAGCATGTAGGAAAATAATATGCTGAGAAGAATCATCGTTATTTTGTGAATTATTACCACAGCAATTATTTTGATTATTTGATGATGACGATGCTGTACTACTTTGACTGGAAGAGCTAGTGTTATTAGCATTGTTATTGCTATTACTACTTCTAAATTCGTCAACATAATCCAAAGCTCCTTGTATTGTATTATAATAAGACAAATTACGACCTTTAAATTTAAGATCTTGATATCCAGGCCGGACGTGAACACCACGGTAAAGTTGCCTAAAGCTTTCTTTCCATGGATTCGGGTAATCCGATTCATCCGGCGATACAAATTCAAACTTACATGGTGCTGGATTGAACAGTGGTAAATCATATTGATAAACTTGTTGATATAAAGATTTCCAAAGCTCAGTGTCGTTGGCGATTGCTTGAAAACGTTTGCATACTTGTGACATTCGACACAAATCTATTTCCAGGAAGTAATTAAATATCGTTAACAGAACTTCATCTGGCAGCTCATACAGAAGATAATGTGCCGCTGTGTTGGTGTTTGTACCTGCGTATGAGCCATACATATTGATTTTATTTCGTCATTGTTGATTATTTAAACAGGTAATTATATTTTATCTGGATTTAAAGGATGTAGAGTAATTGATAAGAAGAATAAACTTACCATCGGTAGACAGAGAACATGTTCGTCTAGGTCGTTTTCTTGCTGGAAGAGAAAAAGAACCAAGAGCGGCTGCAATACTACTTCCGCCTTGTGGAGGTAATGCTGAACTAGAACCGGGTGCAGGATCAGGATGAGGTGGACTTTTACGTCTTAAATCATAAGGTGATGAGTGTGAATGACTTGGTGAAGGTGATGGGGCAGCTACTCCTGAAACACTTGGTGATGATCCTCGTGCTCCACCTGCACCTCCACCACTTGGGGGCATTTGATTTGATGCTGGACAAAGAAGGTCACATGGTTCTGCTGAAATATATATTTAACTATTAGTTTTGATATTTCGTTGAAAACTGGTAAGTTTAAAACGATAATAGCTGTCACGTTTTCATTATTTCTATTGATTTTATTCTATTTTATGCCCAGAATTTTTTACTTTATTTTCAATTTAAAAATAAATTAAACATTATTATCTATGATAAAATATGCAGTAATTATGACAGTAAATAACACAATATGCAATAATAACGACACTGATTTATTATTAATTCGTATATAAATAAAGAAACAACTGCTCTCATGTAATCTCACGTTATTATCAACGTATACTTGATCCAATTATCATCAATTAACCAATCATAATGGCGCTCACGTAAAATTAACATTATTAATAAATATTCCAAAGTATAGACAAATATATTTGTAAAGTGATTCTACACAACAACTCTACAGCATCATGAATTTATTTTGGTATTAATAATAAATTTATAACACTACAGTCACTTTAAAAATTTATCAAGCTGTGTCTAATGACAAATATACGAGAAATCAATGTGAAAAAATTGTCGCAACGATAATTAGGTGGACCATTAGAGATCGATTGGAGAAAAAAAAAGAAGGATGAGAATAAAAAGAGATTTTTTTTCTTATTAATAAAGCCTGAGGCATTGAGAGGAAACGGGCATGGCCATCAGGGCGTTTTTAGGCCACATACTTTGGAGCATACGCGAATGATCAGGAGGTAAAAGAAAAGCAGCAGACGTGGGACGGATGAGAACGTTGTGAGCTGGCTCGGCTGCCTGGTGTACACGTCCTAACAAGGGTCGTGGGTCAATGGACAAAGGACGGGTAAAAGGGGTGAAGGACGAGGGTGTGTGGGAGAGAGATTGGAGAATGATGAAACGTCAAATTGAAGGTAAAAAGTTGAAATGAATTAATTCACGTTTTAGATGGAAAAAGGTTACGACAGGTGTGCAATCAAATAGGCTGTGAAAACGGATCAGAGTGATCGAGTCGACATGAATTTAATTCTCTCTCTCTTACCCGAGGATGTTCTTGATGGTAGAGGAATCCTGTTGGCTATCCTCCGCCTCGAACGCCTTACATAATTACGCGACGCGCTGAACGGTGCACTCGGCATCTTCTTCGTCGCTTAAATACTTGATTTAAAGTCCCAATATCACTTGGTTTTTAACAAAAACTAAAACACTAAACAATGGCGACACTTCCACCGAACACAGCGGCCATCTTCTCATTGACGGTGGGGAGCAGCTCTGCCGGACTGACCAACTTGTGCGCAAGCGTCACTCGATTTCTATCTTTTTCTACTTCTCTGCTTTATGAATTTTCACTCTTCTCTTTTAATTTTATCTCTCTCTTTTGTTCTTTCTCATACACAGATCTTTTTTTACAAACCGTTCACTCTTTCTTTCTCGTTCAAACACTGCCACAATTCAACTTGACGTTTCCGACCACACGCATACACACGCGACACAAAACACCCCCTCTAAATAAATGTGTATTTCGATGCTTTACAGCTTTGCCAACTTAAGAAACACACAATAAATCTGAAAATCAGTATGGAGTTATGGAGACCATTGAACAGAATAACCAATCTCTTTGTATTTACTCTATTTCATCGTGTCTACTTCTCACAATTATTTATGTTTCAAGTTTTTATATATGGAATTCACCACTTAGCAGGTAAAAAATTCTTTCCGTTTACATGCCTTACAATTCCCCGAAAAATGCCTTTGACTTTTCACCAAGTCACTTTTGTCATAAAAACATTCTTTCCAGTAAATCTTTTATTACTTTTAGGTTATTGGCTATCATTTGTTTTACTAAAGGTCAATTATCATGAGCTTTTATTTAATTAATGAGTGTAAATATTCAGTTCAGCTAATGTAGTACCCAATCTGTAGATAATATGAATGAATATATGTGCTTTACTATACATCACTTCTATACCACTACTACACTAACAAAATTCTTTTGCATGTAATGAGAAAATCCCCTTTTCGTTTGATGGTGTTATTCAATTCGGTTGACTAGTTAAAAAAAGCCAAAATCAGCTAAGCTACAAAGGCACCTGGCTTTAATGTTCCTTTCATAAAAAGTCGTTCACACACACGAGGTCTTTTTAATTTACATCTCATGGTACTATAGCGACTCTATCGTTGATTTATTGAATTAAATTTTGGTGGTAAAATAAAACATTTTATTTTTCATGTTTACAGGGATCACTCTAATGTGATTAAAAAGAGATTTTTCAGTGGATTTATTATGACTTTGATATCACCAGGATTTTTATATTTTGGAATGAGCAATAAAGTATTAGAAAAGGTAATAGGTTTCATTAACTAATTTTATAGTTACAAAATTTTTTAGATACTAATAAAACTTGTTATTACTTCTTTTTTCCAGACTACTATATGGGAATTATTAGGTTTACGATGGTCAGGATTACTCCAAGCAACGTTTATACCTCTGTTCCTGACAATGATTTTATTTCTAGGCCCACTGAGTATGCAAGGGTTCAATGGGGAATGGAAGTTGTATGCTGGTCAGTATGCATGTACGTACGTACATCAAAGCATTATCATTATTTAATTTCTATATATGCGTCAATAACTATTCATTACCTTCGTTTATTTCATTGCAGAACTTCCATATTGGATTGAAAACACCAAAAGCTTAATTTGGTGGAGAAATCAAATAGTTGCACCATTCAGTGAAGAATGGACTTTTAGAGCATGCATGATGCCATTATTTTTACAATGTTTTCATCCTTACATTGCTATTTTTATTTGCCCTCTATTTTTTGGAGTTGCACACTTTCATCATGTTTTTGAATTGACGAAAATGGGTGTTGAATTAAAACATGCTATCATTGTATCAGGTAAATTTGTATGTTAAATAACTTTTCCTATTATTCGGACAATTTTTCATAAGTATGTTTTTAATAGTTTTCCAATTTATGTATACAACGTTGTTTGGAGCTTACGCAGCCTTTTTATTTGTTAAAACAGGTACAAAACAATCTATTTGTTTTTTATAAAGTTTTTATTTACTTTTAAAGATATTACTTTAACAATGGTTTCAATTTCAATAGGACATTTCATTGCTCCATTTGCTGCTCATTCATTTTGTAATCATATGGGATTTCCGGATCTTTCGGAAGTCAGAGCCTATAAAGATCCCTTAAAAAAAGCAGGGATTCTTTGTCTCTTTGTTATTGGTTTTGTTGCATGGTATTATTTATTAATACCTTTAACTAATCCTACATGGTTTAGCAACAACCTTTTTTGGAGCAAACGTGTTTTATAGTGATTATAACTGTTGATATATTCATCAAACTAATAATTTGACTGTTATTTTTTATAGATTGAAAGTTACTTCTTAACATTATTCTAAAACATTTAACTAATTGATAACTCTTGCAATTAACCAAATAAGAGTATTTAGCAGAGTTCATCGCATTGCCTAAATTTGTTTATAATCTGAATTACTTTTTTTCATATAAAAGGTTTTACGACTATTTATATTATTAATATTCGTCAGATAACAAATTTTTCAGTACCATATGAGGCACTCTATTTTGAAATCAGTTAAAAATTATAGCCATGATTTACATAAATGATTATATTCTAAGTTTCGAAACGACTGTATACCAAAATTAAACATGATACATATGAACACTTTGGTGTCTAGATTTAGGACAATTTTTTTAATTAGTGACTTTTTAAAAAAAAAGAAAGTGCTATATTATGACTGAATTAAGAGATTCACAAACTTATATTGATAATTAATTATGAATCATATAAAATGGATCAGTGATCAGGTTTAATAGTCAATTTTAAAATATAACGCCTCATGAAATAAATGTACCAGTAACGAAGTAATTAAGAACACCATACATTCATATAGTGCTGAAAGTTTGTTCGTCTTAAAAAAGTTCTTAAAAGTGTAGTGTGTTCATTTACAAATAATGATCATGTTGTATAAAAAGTATAGTGTTTATATTTATAGAATTTTATTGACTATTGAAACAATAAATAAATTTTAGATTAGTAATTTTTATAATACTACTTTAAAAGTAGAACAGATTTTACTACTGGTACATTTGCTTTACATAGTGTTCATGTAAATATAACATAATAATCAAATTTAAATTGACTTATTATTCATCAATTTCATAAAATTTTTTAGTATTCATCCATTCATTATAAATAAAATTATGTTAACGTTGAATATTTGTTTGTAAAAAAAAAAAATTTCACCAATATGAGTGATTGTGTTGAATATTTTATATGACATTAAATATTGTGAATAACAAGAATGATTTTTACAATAAAAAATAAGTCTTTAATTCTTGGAACAAATTGATCAAAGTATACGTTATTTATTATTTCTACCCTTATTACTATTATAATTTGTCTATAAAAAAACAGTACATGTCACTTTCAGAATTCTTCATTTACTAACAAGATCACAGAAAAAGTAATTACAAATAGATGTGTAATGATTTAAAATTATTTTCTTGTATATTATTTTATCAATAATAATTCGAACATTTTTCATGATTATTTAATTAGAAAAACCTAACTATTAGTAGAATTTACAAAACAGAAACGTTGTACTAAAACAATTATTTTACAATTTAAATTTTATCTAAATAAGTTTCTATAAAAGAAAACAATTAGCTAGGTCCAGGATTTGAATCAGAATTTTGGGACTGATTTAAAAATTGAACATTACTTGCCTTAAGTCTTGTACTAGAAGAAACTAAAGAAGGACATGGACTTATACATGGAGTCGAACAATGACTATTACTTAAATCACATTGATCTAATAATTTCCATAACTCTTCTGGTGTAGGACCACTGGGGAAATTTTTAGCTAAAAAATTTATTTAATTAATCGTTTATTCATTAGAAAGTGAAAGTAATAAAGTACAACTAATTTGAAATAGTTACCTTGATGGGTTTCAAATGCTGGATCTAATGCAGTCGTTAAATCCCACATCTGTATTGCACCGTTAGAATGACCAGTGAAAATAAATCTTCGTGGCCTGGATCCCATACGACTTGATCCTTCACATTCATGAACACAAAATGAACTAATCGAACTACCATCTACTGATTGAATGACACAGACTCGTTTTCCATTTGATGCTAATCTTACAAAAAGTTGATCGGTTTCTGGTACAACTTTTTGAACAAATACCTGTTCATCATCTTGTTCGCCAAATGGACCTTTAATAATCGATATTCCATTAAAATTACTATTAAGCAATCAAATTAATTTAACTAAACAATAATATTACCAAAATCATTTCCAGCATCATTACTGATTGATGAATCTACTGAGTCTAAAGAAACAATTTTAAAACTCGCCACTGGTGTTGAACCTGGTTGCGTAGATATCATTCCTCGAAACCGAGTTAATGCCCAACTCCTTCCATGATTATATTCTGAGCAGACAGATACTAAATATTTTTCGGAAAGCCTTACCTGTAAAATTTAATAATGAAAAGATAAATTAACATTATAAATTGCATTATATATAGCTAAATTATTTATTCATACCTTGGTTACACTGCTTTGATGAACTGTAAAAGTTTGGAATAATTGTGGACCATGACCTACAGTTTCTGGATGTTGAACGATAATTCTAACAATCCCAGACTTTGTACCGTAAGCAATTTCAATCCAGTTTCCACATAGACCTGGAGTAAAAGAAATAATTTTTAAAAAAATTATATTAAATATAAAGAATAGTATTTGTTAATAAATTATTGATAATGTTTAATTGAACAAACACTGTTTTCCATGCATGATGCGTGACTGAGCATTTTCTTCGTTTCATTATTGTTGTATTACTTTCCCACCTCTTTGCAAATATTTAACTAATACTTAAAACATTGTTTGTAGAGTTTATAAATATTCATAAATTTATAAAAATGAAATTAAATATCGCATAAAGCATTGAAAATGAAATATTCGATTGAATTTAGCGATAAATAAAACAAGGAAATAGTGTAAAGGGATATAATAAATATGGTCATAGGAATAATAACATCAATGCAAAAATTTTAATTTATGAATGATTAATTAGTAGTACAACTGGATGCATAAGGGTAGCTGGGTTCAACTGGCAAGCAAGTTGATTAAAAAATAACTATATTCCTGTAATATAAACAGTATCTAGCAGACACATCGATAAACAGGTGAGCATTGAAAAGGAAAGGTATATTATAATATTAATTAACATAAAAAACAGTTATGTGATTGAATGTGTCTTGATGAGATGGAGCTTGAAAAGTTTGTGTGGCCAAAAATGTATATATCTTCAAATTTGTGATACACATGTCAAACTAATTGACCCATACTTGCCTTGTGCTAAATATCCAGTTGTACAGTACGAAATCATGTAGCAAAAAACATAACAATGAGTTCACGATGAAATTATTACAATTATTATTTAATAAATCAACTATTTTTTTTAATGAATCTTTGACTAACTGGGCAATTTTTTATCCTATCACATACTAATATACACACTTATTAAAATTATTTATTATTAAAAATAAATATTGTTTCAACTTACTCGTTTTTGGTGTAAGATAAACTGATATTGCTGTTATAGGATCAAGATTCGGATCTCTGTACAGTTCAGTTACTAATAAATCATTGTCTTTCATTCTCAAAGGAAATTTTTGCATATCTACAAAAAAAAAAAAATACAGCTAGTTAATTAGTTGGAATTTATAAATGAATTTTAAATAATAAAAAATTTACCAATATAATAAATAGATCCATTATTACAACCAAGAAGTAAAAATGAACCAGCTGTATCAAATGATGATATCGAAACAACATCTTGTATTTGCCAGTGTTGAGACATGGCATGCCAAACACCAATTTTACCAATCGGTGAAAGCGCAACCAATTGACTTCCAATAAAAAATAAATATTCAACTCGTACATTTAAATTAAATGTTCCTATATTCGTTTTGATTCCGTCTTCAGCAACACTCCATAACCTTATTTGGCTTCCATATGAGATAGCTACCATTTTTCCATCAGGACCGCTGCCCATTTTTGCATTTATCGCCACTCGTTCAATTATTGCTTCGATATGAGGACTTGTAAAAGCATGCTGCCAGCCAGAAGAATCTTTCAAACGATAGCAAGTTATAAAATGAGCGTAGGCTATTACTATCCAGTTATGGTGAGCTTTAATCATCTGTACTCTCAAGGGATCAACCCAACCTGAAATTCAATAAATCATTCTATGTATTTATCCATCGTAATAAGGACAAATGAATGCTTTAAATAATATTGTTATGGTTACCCTGGTGAGAACCAAAAACTAATCCAACATCATTTGTAAAATATTTATTCATATCAGCTGAACTGTTTCGTGCATGTCTCAAGTCATAAGACGGATTTCTCGAGTGTTGTAAATTTCTCTGTTGCAATCTGTAGTCCAATGATGAATTCCTAGCATGGTTTGACACTGAAGGTTTTTGGTTTGATAGCCCAGCTGCTAAATTGAAACAAATATTTATTCTATTGACAAATAGTGACTCTTTTATGAGATTACACTTGATAAAATAATTACCACTTGGATTTGATGACTGCGCAGAAGTACTAACAATTGGCGCAGACTGACTTGCTTCTGTTCGAGGAGTTGAAGGAGCAGCTCTGCCATGAACACCAATATCACTGCTACCTGCAGGAAGATTGATTGGTTCTTGTAATGGAACACCTGTAAAAAATGATCGATAATAAATATTTAAATTCTTATAGGCTTTGTTTAATAAATTAAAATGATTCATGGCTTACTAGGGGGCGGTAGATATCCATAAAAAAGTACATCGCCACACGAGGAATGTGTCAAATCTTCACAAAGCATCAGTCTTTTGATTAAAGGAGTAATACCATAATACTCAGCTTCATGTCTTAAAGTTCTAATATCAATATTTTTTAAATCAATGTCTCTAGTTCGTAAATAATTTAATATTATTGAAAATATTTTTGGATCTCTATCAATAAACAGAGCACCAGTTTCATCTCGACGACTAGCTATACGATTACTTAGAAGAGCCGTAAAAAATGAATCAGGAATCCATGTTAGTGTTTGTCGAGATGTAGAGAATCTGAAATAAATAATATATAAGGATAAGAACTGATAAGTTTTCATTAAATAAATAAAAAATATTTATTTACAAAATCTAATATTTGATTATTGTTAAATACCTGGTTCCTCCGACATTTAAATGAATAATATCACCCATGTTAAGTGAGTGAAAAATTGCCATTATATTGATAATTCATTTACACTTAATTATTTACTTCAATTTTTTTATCAGTTATATACAATAATATTATGCTGCATGACGAAATATCACTCACTAAACTATTGGATATTCTTGAATGTGCTCTGATAAAAAGAGCACATATTTTAATAAAGAAAACTCATCTGTGACAAAAATGAGAAACCCTTTAATAAGCGAGACACAGCTTTGTCCGCCATGATTGTACAACGACGAAACGGAGCAAGAAGAAGAGTTGAGGTTATGGACTCGACGGTAAAGTAGACAACAATCTTACTGAAAGAGTACATAAACAAAGCAATGAATTTTTTAAAAATTACTCCAATTATTCTAAAATATTTTTTTCAAAATTTTTTATTTTTAAAACTTGATAGATAATTATTTTATCACATACTGAGTAATTATTACATCACAATAACTATAATTATTTCATATTTTAGTGGCTGCATAAAATGGCTTTCAAATTTAGTGCTCATATTCTGTTCACATTCCTCCATTTAAAAAGTATGTTATGTCAACAAAAATAATCATGTAAAACTACCTTTAGGTTATTTGCTGATCATTGACGTGTACTTAACCTGTAAGAATAGTAATTATTGTGGTCAAAATGACTTCAAACGAACTGGTAAAGTATTTTTATTAACAAAATATTTCTTATAATCTTTTAAAAAAAATAAATAATAAAATATTAACTTGAAATTGAAAATTATTTTCTCATTACCAAAAATTTTCTCTTTAGGTTAAAATAAACAAATGGGATGGAGCAGCTGTGAAAAATGCTCTAGATGATGCCGTAAAAGAAGTGTTAATTAAGAAGTATAATTATATTCAGAATTTTAAACTTATGGATGTTCGGTTAGGAATAAGTGGTATTGCTGTAGCTGTAGCAGGCAATGCTTTGTGTTGGGATTACTTTTATCCATTCCCAGCATCAAGAAATGTTTTGGTCTTTGGTGTCACTGCTTACTTTATTTTAATAACTATCTTAAATCTTTACACTACATACAAAGAAAAAGGAATTTTTGCAGTAGTTGTTCAAAGGTATATTTGATTTTAATATTCATTAAATTTTTAATTCCAATTTGTTAATAAAAATCATATTATTTTTATTCTGCAGAGATTCAGCTGGATTTGATCCAGATTACATATGGGAAGTTTCATCTTATTTACAAAAATATGATGATAAATACAACTTAATAATGTCAGTTAAAAATGAAGCAACAGGGCAAATGAATGAAACATCAGTCACAAGATCTGTTGCTAATTTTATAGACGTCAATGGTGTCATCGTTCCAGAACTTGTAGAAGCAATGGTTATGAATTTACATGATAGTCTAAATGCCCAAAAGAAAGACAAATAACGAGAAAATAGAAATTAAATTTTTATTAATTTAATTAATCATTGAATTCCTTGTTCATTCATTTTAAGTCTTATGTACAATAATTAATATCATTTTTCGGGTTTTATTGCGTCATTTTTGATGTATTAATTTTAAAAAACAAATGGAATACTTAAAGGACCATATTTTTTGTTAATTCTATTCACACTAAATCCTTATAATTACAAAGAATATATTTAAGTGCTACAATAAAAAATTATATAGATAGTTCTTTTTTAAAAAATTTTCCTTTCGTAGAAGATATACTTTATAATCCATGATTAATATGATGTAATTGTTGATATTTTAGTACATAATAAAGTTCAATAAAAATTAAACAGGTGAATAAAAATAAATATTTATAATTATTTATCCATGAGTCGTGTCATCTTCGACAAAGTCAGCAGCCTCTTCACGAGTTACACACTCTACATGAGATACTTTATTGCGGAATTTTACACCATAAAATTTATTAGCATGTTGCAATAATTCAGGTCTAAAAATAATAAACAATAATAATTATTAATATTTAAGACATTATTATTATTGATAATTTTAAAAAAGTAAGTAGATTTACCTGAAGGTTGTTGTGATAAATTGTGCATCAGCACTTAATTCATGAATCATATCAGCAACAGCTTTCCTGTGCTGAGCATCAAGAGCTTGATCGATTTCATCGAATAAATAGAAAGGAGCAGGATCACATTTTTGAATAGCAAAAATCAAAGCTAAAGCTACTAAAGATTTTTGTCCACCAGATAATTGGTTCATTTCTCTCATTTCAGCACGTTGTCCAGTGAAAGAAACTCGAATGCCTACTCCAATAAATCTATCAGAATCTGCAGCTACAGATGATACATCATCTGTTCCTTCATCTCCATCAGCTGTTCTCATAACTAGTTGTGCATGGCCTGTAGGTACGAGCTTTTTAAACACTTCACTAAAATACTTGCTAACTTGTTTAAAAGTAAACTGAATCGCTTCACATTTTCTTTGCTCCAAAACGTTCATGAGTTCTTTAATTTTTTCATCACCACGATCTAACTCTTCTTTACGCTTTACTAATTTTTCTTTCTGATCACTGAATGATGTAAATTGATCTAAAGCTTTTTTATTAACATGACTATATTTTTTTAATTGATTATTTGCTTTTTCCATTTCTTTAAATAATTGTTTTGTTGACATTGATCCCAGTTTTTCGTAAGCTTCAGGACTAGGCAAAGCTCCGAGTTCTGTAATTTTTTGAGTACATTCAGCGATTTTTTGCTGAAGAATATTCTGCTTACTGGCTAATTTTTCCAAGTCCTTTGCATCAGATTCTATTTTTTCTTGAACTTCTTTCTCTTTAGCTTTCCATTTTTCAACTTCTGCAGCTTCAGCTTTCTGTCTTTTAGATGCTGTAGCAACCTTTTCATTTTGCAATTTAAAATCAGCGCTAACTTTGACCAATCTCTTTTCAATATCAGCTAAATTTGCTTGAGAAGATTCAAGTTGTCTTTGACGATCTTCAACAGAAATTTCTTGAAGAGCTTGAATAACTTCATCTTTACGCCTGTGTAAATTATTAGTCAATAGATTTTCTAATTTATTTTTTTCAGCTTCCAGACGCATTCTCTTGGCAAAAGCTTCCTTATTTTCTTTAGTCAAATTCCTTATTTCATCATTAAGAGTATCAACTTGACGTTGATCAGCAACGGATAATTGAGCCATCAAATCCTGGTGTAACTCACTTTCAAGACCTTCTTTCGTAGCTCTCATTGCTTCTAAGTTAGAGGTACATTGTGCAAGACTCCGTTCTTTAGGAGTCCTGTATCTCTCAATAGCACTCAATTCCTCTTTCATCATGCGTATTTCAGCCTTCATTTTATCATAAATATCTTTAGCTTTACTATTTTTCGTCTCTGTCCGTTGCATTTCAGTGACATAAGTGCTAATGTTCTGATCAGCTTGACGAATTTCATCTCTGAGACCTGATAATTCAGACTCTAAAGCAGTTATTTGATCAGACAATTCAGAACGCATCTTCTGGATTTCTAGACGAGATTTAAGAGTATTAAAGTATCCTCCAGTAAGAGAACCTTTAGAAGAAACTTGATCACCTTCAAGGGTAACACAATCTAAACCCGACTCACGGGCTAAATTTGTGGCTACTTCAAGACTACGACAGATGAGAGTTTTTCCAAAAATATATCTCATAGCTCGATCGAACTTAGCATCATAATTAAGTTTAGAAATCATAGCAATTGCATCATTGGTCTGTGGATAATTAATAGCTTTTACATGAAGACGATTTAAAGGCATGAAAGTAACTTCCCCAGGAAGTCGTTGATTGTTCATCTCTTTCAAAATTTTTGTACCAAATTTATCAGTCTCTACAATGTGGTGAAACAATCGATTACCAGCTGTTACTTCTACAGCCATATAAATATCCTTTTCACAATTAAAATTTTCAATTACTGGTCCATAATAAAGATCCACTTCTGCTGCCATTTCTGGACGTTCACGAAATGTATCTAGAACTTTACGAACACTGTCTCGCCCATTTAAAATAGGCTTACCTGCCATAGAACGTAGACTTTGATCTGCTTTAGCTAAATCTTCCTTAAGACCAGATAAATTTAGCTGTAGAACACTTTCTTTTCTGTATTGTTCTTTTCTCGTAGCTTGACATTGGTCTTTTAACTTAGTCAATTCATACAATTGTTTATTATGCTCATCAATTGAAGCTCGTTGTTTTTCCATTTCTCTAGTGGCTTCTTCAATTTTCTTCTCTAAATCTTTTTGCTTCTTGGCATCTTTTTCCAAATCTTCTTTGATTTTTCTCTGATGTTCTTCTTTGTCTTTTATCTGTTTATTTAACTGTTTCAATTCATTTTGAATCCATCGATCTCGATCATCTTTATTAGTGAACTGACTGCCACGACCTTGTTTAGCATAAAGCTGTTTTCTCTTTTGCTCTTTTAATCCTAATAATCTTGTGTATTCTTCTTCTCTGCGTTTCATTTCTTCGTATTCAGGTTTTATTTTCTCAAGATCTTGCTCCCGAAGAGCAATTGTTGCTTTCAATTTCTCCAATTCCTGTTCTGCTCTCTTTCTACTGTCATTATCACCGGTTACTTCTTCTCGTAAATCTGTTATTGTCAAACCAAGCTTAGTCTTCTCTTTAAGGAGCTGTTGTTGTTCAGCACTTAAGGTATCACGTTCTTCTTTGGCAGACTGAAGATCTTTTTTAGCCTCCTTCAGACGTTTTGTCGCTGCTCGAACTTGCTCTTGGGCAGATTTGACCTCTTTTCCAAGTCTTGCCTGCTCTGCTCCACTGTTAGCACGAGAAGCTTCCAATTCTTCTAACTTTCTTTTATTTTCTTTCAATTCTCGCTCATGAATTGTATACTCTAAACACCTTCTTTGCTTATCCCATCGTTGATATTCTCTCAATTCTTCCTTTTCTTCTTCCAATGTTTGTAATCTTTCTTCAATTGTCCGAAGAAAATCTTCAATTTTTTCCAACTTCCCTTCGGTTTCTTTAAGAATAGCTTTTGATTCTTCACGTCGATCATCATACACTCGTGTTCCAGCAACTTCTCTCAATAGTTTAAGTCGCTGAGAATCTGGAGCAGTAGCCATTTGATTAATTTTTCCCTGCTTAACAATGTAATAAGGATTAGATCTTGAAAATCCAGCTGATTCTAGAAGATTCATCACATCACTTCTGGTAACATTTTTCTTGTTAAGAAAATACTGATCTTTTTTGGAGCCAATAACTCTTCGTAAATAAACTTCATCTTTGTCGATTGGTAATCGTCCGTCAGAATTATCAAAGATAATTTCCACGTGAGCTGATATTACTCGTGGTCCTGTACCTTCATGAAGAAGTCCTTGACGTTGGTCAGGTCTCAAGTGGGAAAATTCGTCACTGAGAACAAACTGGATGGCGTAGAAAAAGTTACTCTTTCCTGAACCATTTCTGCCAACTGAAATAAATATTCAATTGTTTGTCTTAAATAATTTTGATACTTAAATTAATACTATTAAAAAAGAATATAAAATAATTGTTACTCCAAAATATTATGATTATTTATTAACAATTGGTGCTTACCGACAACATTGTGTCGAGGGTCAAAAGGTTCTACAACAGTTTGCTCTCTGTAAGACTTAAAGCCTTGAATAATCACCTACAAAATAAAAATTATTGCTAATTATTCATGCTTTTTTGCATAATAACAATGAATGTTGACATAAAAATTATGCAGTAATTGACGCTCATAAATGACGACGTAAATGATACGAATTTCGGAGTACAAATTTTAGATTAAAATTGTTTACTAAATTTAGAGTATCAACATAAATATTTAAATATCAGGCAATAAATAAGAACATTAATCCAACAATGAAAGCTTTTGAGCGCGTCTTTTTGGCGGATTATTAACCTCCGAGTCAATTCTGTTTGTTTATAAACTATAAAATTTTAAATTACCTGTTTAATATACATTGTCAAATATTTATACTAAATAAGCATTTTTTCTTTAATATCTAAGTATCTTCTACTCAATACAAAACGTTTGTTTCACTGATCTGCTCCGAATATTGTGGTTGTTATTTAGTGGCAGGTAGACATATTGGTATAATGCAAATGCTTGGGGTTATAAGATTAGGCGGGAGAACAGAAATATGGCTTCCGTTTTCACACGTATTTATTTACGTATCATATAAAAATTAAAAATAATCCCAGAAAATTGAAGGATAATTATTCATCCGTAATTAAAAACCTCCAATAAATTTTATCTATTCAAAACAAGGAAATTAAATAATTTCTTTATCAATATTCAATTTGTACCATGAATTGATAAGGTCCAATAACATATCAACAGGAAGGTTTTTTTGTTATTCCGCTAGATGGCGTGGAAAGAGTATATTAAGAGCGGGAAATATTGAAATTTTTTTCATGTTACAAAATTAAAGCGATAGCACTAAAATACATTGAAAATGGTCTAAATAAAATATTAAGAAGAGTAGAATAATTTTTTTATGAAATAAAAAAAATTATTTCAATCATCCAATCATCAAAAAAATCGTTTTACCTTCTGAAACATTTGATTCGGTATATAACCTCAAATTTTGAAGTTTTTTTAATTCCGTCCAATTTTGAAGAATATTCGATTTTAAAGTCAATAAAATATGAAAAAAAAAATCATCTTTGCGGTCGCCAATTGTGTATCCAGGTATTAATGAAAATAATTGTCCATATTACTTTTCATGGACAGTCTAGTGTACTGTTCATTTTATGTCGAAGTGATATAAAATTTATTTCTAAAAATGTATAAATATTTCAGCTGGTAACTGTAAAATCATTTATAAAACAAGATCAACTCGATTAAAAAGTATGCGTTATAATTTTAAACTGATATACCAATTTTGTTTGTTCAAATCTCCAACATCTGCAAGATTGGCGCCAAGACCTTTGGTACATTAAAAGGAAGATTGCTTTCTATCACAACAATTTATCATTCGGGGAATCCTGTTGTTTTAATGAGTTCAATGATGTTATAAAGAAAAGATAAAAAAAAAGTATCTACGATGACGGTGGATATGCATTACTTTTCTCTTTACGAAAATTACCAAGAAAAATACAACCAATTGAAGCAAAAGTTTATAGAAATTGCGAGTTTGCACATAAATGCGGCTAATTTGCAGAATTTAAAACAATTTTATGACAGTGTAATAAATTCGAAACGTGCTTCCGATAATATTAAAGATTTACTAGATTTGATAAAAATTTTAGAGAAACGTTTAGAGTTATCATATAATAAAATAGAGGCCTTCAAATATATAGCATCGACGTTTGTTAAAGATCCAGTGCTTGATGTAGCAATTAAAGAGTATGAATTACAATTAGAAAATCAACGAAAATTACCACCTTTAAATGTATATAAATGCAAAAGTGGTGAGTACTTGTGTGGACAAAATGAAGAAAATTCTATTGTAGTTATAAACATAAATCCTTCAGAGGAATCACCAATTGATTCTGAAGTATCAAATTTATTAACTTCTAATGCACTTCACCATCATTTACAACCATCAGCTGAAATATTATTTGATAACAGAGATTGTGATCAAGTAATTAGTTTACAACCTTCTGCTCCAAACATTAATAGACCTAGCTTTATGCATTATTTTAATATTAATATTACAAATAATTTCTATTCGTTAAATAGATTTACTATTAACTCGTGCAGTAAATACTTTTTTTTTCGGGAAATAATGGTGTTGGTTGTTATAATTGTTTGCTTGACACTTATTAAAATTACTCTGAAACCATCAGTGTCACCAATATCTTCAGTATCACCGTCAACATCCATAGAGGATGATTCTGGATTCACTGCTGCTAGTCAGATAGTTTTGTTAAATAGTCCTACTACATTTCAATCGACTCATCAGCCACCTCAGCAGGTATCAAGAGGTCCACAACAATCCAGTCAACCGACAGCCTTTCAGTCTGAAGGTATTAATCATAATTAGCTTCATAAACTATCACATCATATTATTAATTTATCACAATCCCTAGTCTTCCAGTATCTCAGTGAAAATTTGGGTAGAAGTTGGCGAGACTTGGCGAGGTTTCTGGATGTCAAGGAAGCAGAAATTGATTCTATAGATCTTAAAACCCATTATGATTATAAGAACAGGGCTCTGGAGGTTGAAAGAATTTAAAATAATAAATTTATTGAATAAATTTGATTGACAAATATTTAGTTTAATTGTTTTTCAGGCATTGGAGATATTTAGAAGACGATGTGATCCTTGCAATTGGAAAAAGAAATTGATAAAATCGTTAGAAATTATACGGCGTAGAGATCTCGCTGAACATGTAACTGATATGATTTTACAGGGTAATAATAATTAAAGGAAATTTTAAATATAAAATATCTTCGTTTATGTTCAAGACTATAAAAAAAATATATTCACTCGAATCTGTGAAAACATGAATGTATTTTTATATTATCAACTTTTATACATTTTGCCTAAACCGTACTATCTTACTAATTAATATTACAGTGAATATGAATGAAATTAATTGAAATTACTTGTAAAAAAAAAAAATTATTGTTTCAACATTCATATCGGAAATATTTATTGACAATGAAATTGTATAGGAAAAAAAATAATAATGTTAACAAATACCGCTCTATTTTTCTCATTTTCTCTTATTTATAAATTTAAATTGTTAACATCAAGCATAAATATAAACCTTATTTTAATTATTTACTACTAATATTAAAATTATCCTTAAATTATGATTACGATAGTTATTATGAATAGTTTAATTTTATTATAATTTCTTATCATTTATATTTTTATATTAATTATATTTATATCTATTTGATTTTTGTTTGTTATAAACTTAAATTTTTTAACAAACAATTATTAGGAGCATAATATTATTCGAAGACTTTATTTGCAAATGCTGTAATTGATTTTCATGATTTTTTTATTTAATTTTTACTAAATTTTTGAATTTTTTTTCCTTTTATATTATTAATTATTTGAATAAACTTCATATAAAAGCGAAATGATCGATTTTAAATAAGAAAGTTGATTTAATTCCAAACTAATTAAAATAATTAAACTGTAAAAGTATTTCTCGTCACGCTTCCGGCTTTCACCATTACGTCTTTGTGAACTTGATATCCTAGTTGTGTTTTAGGATGAATTTTCATTCTCTCTCTTAATTTTCGTCTGAAAATACATACAATGTTCAATAAGATAATTTGATTACGATTACATAACTGAAAAAAATCAAGAATTAAATGTTCCAAATATTCAAGACTTCATGACTATCAATAATTTTAGTCTCTTGAAATGTCATTTAAATCAAATTCTAAAAATTTACCCAATTTCCATAACACTTTGTGTCCTCTTAGAATCAGCAGTCCAAATACCAAGTTTGTCTGATTTAGATCGTACATTTACTACTGCACCACAGATATCATCAGAATATTCATTAAAAGCTTCTCCAATCATGCACAACAAAATTTCTAACCAGAGATGATCGAGATCAATATTTCGTTGCTTTTTATCCAAAGTCAAAAGCCATCGACCTCCATTTTTGTTGGCTTCATCTTCCCACATAGGTCTGATTCCACGTTTGAACATGCTGTAGTCGCATCCTACTCTCAATTCTGATGCTGATTTGATATGATTGTATAAGCTGAAATCGAAGATATGAAATTAAGCATGATTTATCAGTTGATGCATTGCACATGAATCTTAATAGAAAGGTTAATATAAGATTATTAGTGTATTATATATCAATTTTACCTCCAGAAATCTTCAGCTGTATCAAAACTAGTGATTTCCCTTTGACTTTCTTCCCATGTTTTCTGTTTATCGGGTTCGTAATACCAAAGAGTCCACGTGTGCTGTAGAGGATGTTTAATCAGCAATTCTGGTGGATATTCTTCAGGATTTGTTGATGAGTCCTGCTCTTTTCTTTCAACTTCCTGTAACAACACACCCATTGGTTTTCTCTTTTTATAACAGTAAAAATTTAAGAAGGTTTTAAAATAAGAAAAATGATAAACAGGCTGTTGAGAAATAGAGTATCAATTTACTGAAGACTAAGTGAAATTCGAAAAAGAGGTTATGGCCATTTAGAGAGACAAGCAGGGCAGTAATGCATGGGGCGAAAGGGAGAGCCATCAATCGTCTATCCAGATGTCTAAATTTCTTACATTTCAACCGGTAAACTGAATAAATTTATGTAAAATAAATCAATAGTTTATTAGAAAATAATTTAATTAATTTAATTAATAACTTATATTTAATTTACCTCAATTTCTTCAGTATTATTAGTTGCCATATCACGAGATAATATACACGCACGATGAGAATATTTGCTAAATGTGGATCTCGAACAGTGGAGACATCTTCGATCAAAAATTAACATTAGTCATCATGTCTCCACCCGTCCCTATTTGGATCATGAATTTTGTCTTCATAATAAAACATTGTCTTACTCCAGTAAAAATAAATAAATCATAACCGAAAAGTGAGAAAAATATGAATTATATAATACTAATAATTAACAATTTAACCTAAAATTTATAATTACGCACAAATTAATATTTTTCATAAAATAAAACACTCTAACTGTTCTATAAAAGTATAGACATTCAGTATAAAAAATATAAATATTTAATTTAATATGCTCTAGTAATGAATGATTAATAATCCAACAATTGTTTAAATATCTAACTGTTGATGTTGTTTGCCAAAGTGTTTTAGTAATTAATCAAATAAAATTCTATTAACATTTTTAATTTCGCAGTTTATACTTTACATTCGTTCTCAATCAATAATATCATTATAATTATCTGTGATATTATTTTTATTTTATCGATATTCATTGTTTCATCAATTCAAATAAAAATAAATATTTTTCTAAAAAAAAAAAAAAAAAGTACGTTCAAGGTGAACGTTTTCATACAGTAAACACGAGTGGATTTCAAAGTTGTCACCCATTATATTCAAGTTTGTTACCCCCAAAAATGTGACAAAATCTTACCCCTATTGTAAACATAATTGAGGGTTGGTACTACTGAAATACGCGTTATGTTGGAAAAGTGTCGAATATAGCAATTTACCCTTGTGTCTTTACGCTAGTAAATAGAAAAATAACACATTAAATGCTGATTTTGATTCAACGAATTCTTCCACTTATTTAGGCGTCATGAATAAAACGGTAATATTAAATAATATAATCATTTAATTTAATTAAAAATGCATGTAGTGAAGTTCAAATGAGTAGTTTAGTTTAGTACAGAGGTTAGATTTCTTAAATGATGCTTTCTAAAATGTCCCAATATAGTTAAAGATAGAAAACCTGTTTTGGAGCATGTTTACCTGAGATACTTTATTTTCAGAATTCTATTGTTATTTATTTTTCTAATAGCTGTTTCTCTTTCAGACATCTGAAGAGAATGGTGAGGTGAAGAGAACAATAAACAAACAAGATGCTCCAACTTACAGCTATGAAAATAGTTTTGCTTCATACTACCCAAACTCTACCTCGCCTTCGGTGGCTAGTCAACCACTTCCCGGGCAACCTCCTTTGCCTCCAATGCCTCCACCACCTGGAGCACTACCTCCATTACCTCATGTATTCCCAGCGATGCCACAGGTTTCACAAATTCAATCTTGGGCTCATCCACCTTGGCAATGGATAGCACCTCAAGCTACTGCTTTAGCTCCTCAAACACCACGTGATATTACGAGTACTTCTACCAGAGGAAATTACACTCGACGAGATAGATTCAATCATAATAGAAATAATGTTTATCCCCAGAGAGGGAATTTTCATCGAAAAAATAGAAGACCCAGGTTCGATCAGCCTCATGCTTTCGATCCAACTGCTTATTTTGGACAAACTTTGACTGGTGGAATTAGTATTGATTGGCAGAGAACAGGGTTTCCTGCAACACAGGCTGATGCTCTCAACCATATGTCTATTGCTATTGCTAATCAAGCAGCTAGTGGGACCAATGTAGAGAAACAAGAGGGTGACCAAGATATAAAGATAGTTTCGGTATGTTATATTGTTGAAACTAATAATTAAAAGACATGTTTAATAAATAAAATAATTGGAATGTTCTTGAAAATTATAGGAAGTAGGAGTAAAGAAAACAAAGCAAAGGAAACCAATGTCTCAGAATTATCCAAGTAGACCATGGAATCTTGAAGACGCTCAAAGTGCATTAAAAGTAGAAAATGAGTACAATAAAACAGTTAGAGCACAGAGTTTAATAATAAAATTCCCAGATCCCGATTTAAATAAAGACATTGTTCGAGAATTTCATTCAGGCATTCAGAATATACATTTCCAAAGTCCCAGTGGACCTCGGTATTGTTTTATTCAAATGGCGGAAGATGTTAATATAGACGAGGCAATCAAAGAATTGGAAAAAATCCCATTTGGCGTTGGGCATCTTAAAGTTGAGAAGAAGTCTCTTAGGGATGAAGACTATCCTTCTCCAGAGGAGATTGACCCTTATACGTTATATGTTGGAAACTTGCCAGAATCAGTGAATGTCAATGAAGTCAAAAGTAAATTTCCAACTGCTAGTAGAGTGGATGTTGGATATGCTCAAAAAATGAGAAATACTCGGTATGCTTCAAACAATAGTTTTATAATATATTCTGAAATTAATCGGAGCACTAATTTTTATTCAAAAAATATTTTTTTTAGATATGCCTTTATTCGCTACACCTCCGTAGAAGAATCCATAGCGGCCTATAAGAAAGCACATGATTTAATGTGGGACACCAGAAGTATAATAGTAAGATTTAGACGACAAAGAGGTAACACATGTCTTCCTGGTGAATCAAAAAATAATGCCAAAAAGGTTAAAGAAGAGCCCAATGATGCTAATGTTAAGAAAGAAGTCGCTGCAACATGTAATGGCGATCAGAAATCAAACCAAGAAAATAATAAAAATGACGATGAAGAGCAAAAGATTCAAAGCATGCCAGTCAATAGAACAGAAAATAGTTCGGCATTGGCTAACGATTCAAGGTTTAATGTAGAAAACCCACCAACATCAGTTAAATCTACAGAAACGTCTCAACAACCACAACAGCAACCTTGGGTAAATATAAAATTAATTAATTCTACCATAACATTTCTAGTTTATTTTCAAATTGTTTGTTTATTATAATACTGATGTCATGAAATAGACTTCACCGTCACCTCAGTTACCGTCAGCCGCAGAAGGATCTCCGGCACCGCCTATTAATAATACTGAAGAGACAGTGATGATTACAACGATCAAAGAAGAACCTGAAGATTATGATGAAATGGAAATGTCTTATATGCCGATGGATGATGATGACGATGACGATGATGAGCCAGATGAATTGGACGAGTCAAATGACGAGATTGATGATAATGACAATGAAGCTGATGAAGGAGACGATCAGGAGGGTTCTATTGATTCTAATGTCCAAAATCGACGGAACGATGAAAGAAATTCTGATACTCCTGATGTAAGTTATTTAATCAAATAATTTTATGTGGTAGCTTCTTTTTTATTTAATTTATAATCATAATAATCTTTTATTAATTGTTATTTTTAGCATCTAGATCAGATGTTCAATGAACTAGAAAACATAGTAGGAGATATTGAACTCTGAGCAACCTGAATGTGAAAAAATCGAATGTGTGAACTGTGAATGCAACCATGATTGACTTCCTAATAAAATGAATGTGTAAATATTTTCCATTGTATAGGATTATATATATATATATATAAAGTTACGACTTCGATTTTTATTTAAGATTTTTTGAATTTCTAAGAGTATCAAGTGATTAAACAGTGAGAACCGATGATTAAGATAGTATTATATTGTCATGTAATTTGATCCTATTTTGGGATTGAAAAAATCAAAATCGTGATTCAGAATGTATTAATTATACTGGCTATCATTAAAACTAACTTTTTTATTTTAATTAATTTGTACTGTTTTTATTATTTATTCAAAATCTCTCCAAAGTTCAATAATTTTTATATCATTTTGCAATTAAATATCGCGCCATTAATTTTTCGTAGCACTCTTGAGGATGAAAGTAGAACTAAAATTATTATGGCGGCAATAAAACGCGGGAGATTGCAGAAATTATAATAAATCCACACGAGAATAATAACCTTGTTTCCTAACGCGATCGTACGCCGGTTGCTTTGTTGAGTTGTCTTCCAAGTATTCTTGCTAATATTGCAAGTATTAATTTACAAATCTTATCACAAGTGAAATATAAACAGTAATTCAAGATGTTTGAAGCAAGATTGGTACAAAGTGCGATCCTGAAGAAGGTTTTGGACGCAATAAAAGACTTGTTAACAGAAGCATCCTTCGAATGTTCCGATTCAGGGATTCAAGTTCAAGCCATGGACAATGCTCACGTTTCCTTGGTCTCCTTGAACTTGAGAAGCGATGGCTTTGATAAATTTCGATGTGATAGAAATCTTTCCATGGGAATGAGTATTCAAACGTAAGAATAATTATATTAAATTTTTAAGGTTAAACCTTGAGAATTTATTACAAAAGTCATTTTGTCAATTTATCATGAAATAAATCAATAATTGGACAAATAGGAAAAATGATTTCGTTATTTTGATGATTTCTAGCATGGCAAAGGTTTTGAAAGGTGCTGGAAGTGAAGATACAGTAACTCTCAGAGCTGCTGATAATCCAGATACAGTAACTTTCATCTTCGAATCATCTGGCAAAGAAAGATTAGCTGAATATGAAATGAAGCTTATTAATATGGACCAAGAACACCTTGGAATTCCGGTAAAATCCTTTCCAATGAACCAGTAATTCAATTCAAACTCCAACTAACAATTTGATTTCTAAATAATCAATACAGGAAACTACCTATTCATGTGTAATAAAGATGCCATCAGCAGAATTTGCAAAAATCGTTCGAGATTTGTCCCAATTTGGAGAAACAGTTGCCATTGCATGTACCAAGGAAGGAATCAAATTTTCAGCTTCAGGAGATTACGGAAATGGTAATAAAAATGTATTTTTCTTACCTGTAAAGTATAGACAGTCTTCTTCAACGTAAGCATTGTGGTAGATCAAGAACTTCTTTCACTTACTTACTCTTCAGTTAGACTGAACTATTTAGACTGATCGAAGCTAATATTGAATGAATAGTTTCTTACACAGGAACCGCGTATTTAGATTGTTTACATTTATTAACTTAACCCTGATGGTAAACAAAATCTTATAAATTTAATTTAACCGTTAAATCAAAATTAATTTTTGGAAGCAAGTATTAACTTAAATTCAAAATGAATTAAAAGAAAATATTCAACAGTAATTAATACACTGAAACATAACTTGGCAATGGTTAATTAATTTACTGTTTAATATATTGAGTTGAAAATGTAAATCAACCTTTGCACATTTTTACAAACTCAAATTAATTTTAGATTAATGAAAGATTTATTAATTTATTATAATATTTTTGCTTTATAAATTATAGCAAGCGTGAAGTTGGCACAGACAGCAGACGATTCAGACCCTGACGTAGCAGTTGTTATTGAAATGCAAGAATCTGTCAAACAATCATTCTCCTGTCGTTACTTGAATAGTTTTGTAAAAGCTACACCCCTCTGCAGCCAAGTTGTTTTATCATTATCAGGTGACGTACCTTTGGTTGTTGAATATAAAATCGGAGACATTGGTCACATCAGGTATTACTTAGCACCGAAAATTGACGAAGAAGAAGACAATGCTAATTAAAATAACGTGCTTTGCATTATCCGATAAAAATAGTATTAACTTTTTATATTATGCATGTGAGGATCAATTTTTTTGAAAGAGAATATGAACTTTTTCTAGTATGTACCTATGATGATAAAGTGCCTTAATGAAATAATAAACTGTAAAAGGGAGCGGATGAAAAATAATAAAATAATTAATAATAGTAAACTGTATATTTTTGAAGATAATATATTATTCAAATTTTACATTTAAAAGTTTATTTGGCTTGTCACAGTTAGCGTTATGTAGAATTGACACTAATGTTTGTAGCAAGGTGACACGCTTCACGATTAATAAGATAAATTGGATCGTATTGGTACGAATTCATTTTTTTTAATTTCATTATTATCGCTCTGTCGCCTGTGACTATTTTTTTGTTTTTTTTTTCTCTTCGATAGACTCACGTTCTTTGAATTTTTGTATTTGTAATATGTAAGATCTGAATATATCTTTGATCGATTTTTTAATGAAAGAACTGGTTTTTAGTTATTATCCCTGTTTATAACTAGTCTAATCGAAAATTTTTAAATTTGTTCCATTAAAATGTTACCTCAACTCCTCATTCTATGTTTCAATATATAGGCTACTTTAATATAAAAATACATAATTAACTTACAATCTAAAGGAATAAGTTTGTTTGGCTATTGCAGACTTGAAATAGCCATGAATTATTAAGATTTATTTTCGATTTTTCATTTCTTTCAGTAATTTATTACGTTGAGTTTCTTGTTTTATTAATTTACGATTTAAATTATTGATAGAATAAAAATACGGAATTATATATTACAAAATGCAAGAAGGAAAGTTTTATCTTCTTACATTCAAAGCTAAAAGCTATTATGTAAATCATTCATTGTCTCATTTTATCAATCATCGTTTTATCATTTTCTTTTATTTCATACATACTCTGAAATACTCGATTTACGCTAATGAATGAGAGTAAAATCTTTGGTATTTAAACAGTATTTTGGACAGTAATTGATGAGATAGTTCTTTTTTTTTTTTCTTTTTTTTTGATGATGAGTAAATCAAAAAAATTACTTTGGCAATATCAGTCAGCCTCTTTGGTTTTTAATATGTTTATATTACTCATTTGTTCAACAAAATGAATGATTATTAAAATTCTTTATAGTTATACTATAACTCTCAACGTTTTTTAATAAAAAAGAGGCAAGAAATGGATTAAAATCGAACATCGTCTTGTACATATCATAATAATTCATTCAGATCACTGAGATTATTTAAAAAATAACTTTAAAAAACTAATAGTTATAACAAATTATCAATATTAATCTCCTGATTATATTCTATATATTTATATATGCTAAATATATAAGTATATATCATATCCATGCGATCACTGCCATGCTATTGAGCTTTTCATTCTTATTTTTAATTTTAAACGAAAAGTACGAAATTGTTTAGGCATTTTTACTGCCATTACTGCCATAAAGACTCGGATGTACAAATTTATCGTGTAGTGTTCGCAAATGCCTTAAAAGATTACTTTTTACATTAAAACCTTTTTTACAGTATGAACAGAGAAATGGCTTTTCTCCTGTATGTGTCCGTTGATGGATCACCATTGATGCGTGACTCGGAAATACTTTTTGACAGATGTTGCAGAGTTTTTGGTGGTTATGGACTCGTTTTGGTTTTGGTGGTGCTGAGTTATTCATCAATGCCAATTGTTCTTCTGTGTGCTCTGTTTGAATGTGTCGGACCCATTCTTGAGGAGTTGGATATGTGTTGCCGCAAAGATCACATTTTAAAGGTGGAAAGTCTTTGTTGTCGTCTTCGTCATCCTGTAATTATTATAATATTACTACACATTCCTTTCTTGCTTTTATTATACAATTAACTTCATACTAAAGCAATGCCTTTATTATATGAAATAATTTTCAAGAATAATATGCCCCAAAATATTTTTATTCTTTGAAATATAATTTTTGTAACTAAAAAAAAAACGATTCAGCAGTCAATGAAACTTCTTTTAATTTAGAACTTCTCAAAGTTTTCATTAGTTCTAAGAAATAAAAGGACTTCAGAAGTTCTTTTTTATATAAAAATCTCATTTGATTTCTATTAAGCTTTCCTTCAAAGATAACTTTTTAATTACTTAAAATCGATGTATTATTAAAGTTTTTATCGGAATTTATTTCGTATTTTATGCAATATCAATAATTAACGATAAAAAGAAGTATTTTATCCAATCTACCTTATTATAATTAAAACTTGATAAGAAACTAGTTATGTTGTATCATTAACATGCTGTTATGATAAAAGAAAATGATTAAAATAATAAACTTAAAACTTACCTTGCGTTTTCTTCGTCGATTTTCCGTCATATCCGCATGTGTAAATTCAATGTGCTTTACCCAATCGGATGGACGATTAAAGGTTTGACTACACATGTCACAAGTTAAAGGTGTATATTCTTCTTCTTCCTCCTCTAAATCTCCATCTTCATCCGCACTATGAACTATTTCCTTTAAGAATAAATAAAAATATAAATTTAAAGAATATTTAAAGAAATATTAAATGCAGTAATATAAAAAACATACGGGTTTAATATCAATTTCGTGATCTATCGTTAATGATTCAGTAGGATCCATAGACTCTTCCCAATCAACAGGTTCGTCCTTAACTAGAAGATCCAGATTCAATTCTCCTTCACTTGTATCACTTTTAGACTTGGTAGACTCTGCCTCACTGTTACTTAATTTCTTCCTCTTTCCATAAAGCTCAACATTCTCTTTGTTTTTACCTTGATCATTACTCTTGGTTTCATCCATTTTTTTAGGTTCTGGAGTTTCAACAAACTTTTCGCCAACTTTCTCAGTAATTTTCTTTTCTATCACTTTATGTGCTGGTACGGACGGTGTTGATGGAATTGTTGTCATCGTCGTCGTGGGGGTCATCTGAGAAACTGGAATTTGCATGGGCTGAGGTGTATGAGCAGGTTCTGGCGTCATTTTATCAGTAGGAGGTTGAAGTAATTTTATCTTCTGTATTTGTCCTGGTATAGGCTGTTGTTCTCTTTTATCTCGTTCTACTTTTTGATTATTAGACTGGATATTTTCTTTTTTGCTCGTTGAGTTTGATCTCCACAAACCACGAACTCTTAAGATGTCTCCAGCTTTCAAAACTCCTTCTAATTGATCATTAGTGACAGTTGCTTCTCCACTGTACATATACTGGATTAATATTTTTAATGTACGATATCCAATTTCAGTTGGAAGAACCTGGAAGAAATGATTTTCATTAGAGACATTCATTATTTTTAAATTGATTTATTTAAAATTATAAATAATTAATTTCCTACCACAATTATTGGAGAGTTGGTGTTGGCTCCGAAATGACAGGTTTGAAAAATGTGACTTAAATATGAGGAACAAGCAGCGAGAACAAAACGATGAGCAGCAATGTGACGACCGCAAGAAGTTGCCAGCAAAACATCAGCAAATGATTCTGAATGAAGGAGAGTTGCAACTGAACTATGAAGATGAGCTCCATAGCTATGCCATTTTAGTTGATAATTTTCTGATGCGGCAATTGCCATTTTTTCTGTAAAAAAAAAAATCGTCGTTAGTGTGGTGTTAGAAAATAAATCTTTAACATTGATTATAAATACATGAACGAGAACGAAAAAGAGATTGTTGATAATCGTAATAACTAATTATATCATTCTCTTTCATCAGAAAAAAATCCCAAGCGATTATCGACCGTAAAACGTATTCCCTCCGGGGACAAGACTACGAGCTCAACCGTCTCTATTGTTTCCCGATCGATCCCATGCACGTTTCGAACGCTATCATCACTTGTCTATCTTCTTCTTATCCAATGTATTTCCGCAATGACTTTTAACACGAACAGTTGTCTACATTATTCTTCATTATCATTCATAAACTTCCTAACTCTTTTTGTAAAACTATCTCATTAATTCCACTTAATTATTGCATAATATTACAGCAGATTGTGATGTAAATAAACCTTTTGATCGACGAGATAATTTAACAAATTAACACTATATTCCATCAATATGTCACGTCTAAAAAAATGTTTTTTATTACTTCATTAGTACACTTTTACACATCATGAGGCATAACAAAAAAAGAATAACACAAAAAAATAATCATAAGTACTCATAAGTAATACCTGACGACATTGTCGAATGATTGTTGACTGTTTTGACGTGATCTTGGAGATTTTCTTGATTTAAATGATCACCGGTTGACAAATCACTTGATAGATTGATTGAAAAAATTTTTAAAGTCGAAATCTCGACGTAACTGAACAAAACAACGAATAATATTTAGCTCACGCGTTCGTGTTTTGAATGGCGCGTTACGGACGGGGTACGGGGCAGATATGAGCATCGAACCACGGCGTAGGGGCCTAAAAATCGATATTTCGGTCTTTGCTCCATCCTCCGGGTGTGCGGTGCGGTTCGTTCGGGAAGGTAGGGTGCCCCCCTGTTCATCATCGATTTTCTCTAGCTACCAATCGCACGCATCCATTTATCGCATCGATCGGTTGAGCTGATTTCAGCGTTTGCGTCTCCCATCAGCTCCCTCTCTTTTATTCTTCCCGTGTTTCTCCGTCTCACTTGAACCTTTTGGTGATGCTTTCTCCTTTCTTCATTATTCCCAGCCACCTCACCCTCGAGACTTAATCCCCCAACCTCCCTCGCGCCTATAGTTTTCTCATCATCTCTCTCACCCGTTTTCCCGCCCGTATTCTCTGATACAGCAATCCACACTCGGCGTCTCCATCTAAATTGTTCGAATATGCAACAGGAAATGCCATGGATTCTATTATAGGTAGGAAAAAAGACTTTTTTGATGAATAGCTAATGATTATTTACAGTCAACTATATATTTCTTTTTGAGGTTTGTAGGTTATAAAATGATTAGGTTAATCGATTTTCATGGATATGACTGCATTGCGACAATAACCTCGTTTTCTTTTTGAACAAAGGGTGTTTTACAAGATATAGAAAGTGGCGCGAAGGACGCCATAACGTTTTTTATCCATTTTTATTTGTTTAACGATTTATTGTTTAGTTTGAATTAATGTAGATTGTAATAAAATCTACTTATATTGACCTCAGATGTCTCATTAAATCCAGTAGATTCAATTAAAGGGATCAGAATCGCTGTCGCCAGTATGAAATGTATATTAGAATCTTGGATCGAAGTATTTATTCCCACGTGATTTTTAAATGTCCATTATAACCTTTTGATTCAGCTTTTTATCTTCACCATCATACATGTGTTGTGATTTGTAATCATTCTAAAGGGAAGATGTTGATGATTGAATTAAATTTTAGTGTGTACTTACACAATTTCATATGATCTATCAAGTTTAAATGTTTTACAAAACGTAAGATCACGTGGTGATGATATTATTCGCAAAAAGAAAACATTTTCATTCAGATGGCACCACTGATCCCATTTACCT